GAGGGGAGCTTATATCTGGTTTTCTTTCTTACTGCCTTTATTTTTTCCCATACTCTCCCAACCAAAATAAAGAAATAATGACGTGTATAGCTGAGATAGAGTGTGTGTTCCAAGACAAACTACATCCCAGTGACAAAGAGATCTCCATATTTTTGCCCGGACGAACATATATAAGATACTTTTTTTCTTTTTAAGAATTACGACAGTTTGTTTTTCGCCAGCCTCCACACTTTTGATTGTATTAATATCTAACAATTCTTTTTTAAGTAAATGGCTTTTTCTGTAGAGTTACATGTGCCTGTTATAGTCAATCAGGCACCATAGTTAAAAGTAGAAAGAGGAAAGTTTTAAAAGTCACACCGTTCAAGTTGCTGCTGATAACTTTGGGTGAGCATCTTTCCAGACAGCTCTCTGTGCTTCTGGATAGATAGGCAGAAATAGCTCTGTTCAGATGGGATCCTGCTATAAATACTGTTAGGCATCTCATTTTTCTTTGACTATGAGAAGGAAACTGAAGTGAAACTGAGTAGGCTTATAAAAATGTTTCTTTACCACAGAGAGATTGTTTCCTGAAAAGACTTCTGTATGGTTGAGAAAAAGGATCATGAGAACTATCAGGAGGTTGGCAGCACTGTTTTCAGTTTCAGGTGCCTGTTGGCACCCACCATGAAGATGAAGACATTAACAGTTGGGGATTTTTTTTCCCCTTAGTTCGAGGGTTCCCAAAATACCACTCTAAGCATTCTCAGATTTATTGTATGGATTTGGTCAGGACGTCGAGGCTAGGGAAATTCTGCTTTTGGAATGACCTAAAGATTCAGCTTGAGACCCACATACAGACTCCGTCTCAAGCGGTTTTATTAAGGAGCTCCTCTCCTATGAAGGGCCCGTGGCACTTACTGCCTGACAAACATAGCTCACTGTTTTGTTTTTTTTTTATTTTGTTTTTTTTGAGTTGGAGTCTCACTCTGTCGCCTAGACTGGAGTGCAGTGGCCGCTCCCGGCCACCGCAGCCTCGACCCGCTGGGCTCCGACGATCCTTCCGCCTCAGCCTTCCAAGTAGCTGGAACTACAGACGCACGCTACCACGCCCGGCTGATTTTTGATTTATTGTAGAGATGAGGTCTCGCCAAGTTGCCCAGGCGGGTCTCGAATCCGCGGGCTCAGGCAATCCACTCACCCCGGCCTCCCAAAGTGCGGGATTACAGGCTGAGCCACCGAGCCTGGCTACTTGTTTTTACTCTACTTTTTGTTACCTGCCTTATTTGCCAGACTTGGCTTTGAATGACTTTTGGTTTTTTTGGATGGGGTGTCTCTCTGATTCATCCAACAGATCTTTACTGAGTGGCTGTTGTGTACAATTTAGTTTGTATTCTGGTAGAGGAGACAGACTGAGCAAGAAAACCAATTTATTTCTTTATTTACTTTAGAGACTGGGTCTCACTCTTATCCAGTCTAGGGATCATAGCTCACTGCAGCCTTGAACTCTGGGAGTCAAGCAGTTCTCCCCCTCAGCCTTCCTAGTACCTAGGACTACAGGTTCATGCCACCATGCTTGGCTAAGGCAAACAAACTTTTTTTTTAAAGCAGGATTTATTGAGAGGACAGAAAAACTCCCACAGTGGGAGGGGACCCGAGGGGGTTGCCCAAGAAACTTTTTTTTTTTAATAGAGATGGGGGTCTCGGTCTGTTTCCCAGCCTGGTCTCGAACTCCTGGCCCTCGGGCAGTCCTCCCTCCTAGGCCTCCCAAAGTGCTGGGACTACAAGCATTAGCCACTGTGCCCAGCCAAAGTAAATTTAATACTCATTCTTGGCAGTGAGTGCCACAAAAGGAATGGGCACTGTGACAGAAGGCAGCTGGTGGTACAGTTGGTATGGTCAGTGGGGCCTGGAAGCCTAGCCAGGGGCCTGTGTTCCCAGAACTGACCAGAAAGGGGCAAGTGGGAACCAAGTCACGCAGGACCTCACCGATCAGAGCTGATGAGTCTGGTTCCATTTATGCTGACTCAGTTTATTTGAGAATAGGAGCGTTCCTGTTTCTCAGAATTCTCTGTGCTTAACTCAGGGCCTGGCAGGTGATATTTACTTAGTAAATGTTTGTTAAAGCTGGACACGGTGGCTCACACTTCTAATCCCAGCACTTTGGGAAGCAGAGGCAAGAGGATTGCTTGAGCTTAGGACTTCAAGACCAGCCTGGGCAACATAGTGAGACCCCCTGCCCCTATGGTGGGGGAACACACAAATTAAACTGGTGGCTGTTCAGGAGGCTGAGTGCTCCTGCCACTGCACTCCAACCTGGTGACAGTGAGACCCTGATTCAACCTTCCCCAAAATGTTTCTTGAACAAGGGATTGAGGACAGTGACAGTGCCCAGAGCAGTGGGTTTGGGAGCAGGAGCCTGAGTCTTGGTCCTAATTGTGGTCTGGAACACATATCCCTACCCCATCCTCAGCCATCAGGTGAGACCAGCAGGAGAAAAACGTCTTGGCAGCGGTTGGTTTATTTATTTATAATTAAATTTACTTGGAGGTAATTATAGTTTTATATACAGTTGTAAGAAGTAACACAGGAAGCCAGGTGCAGTGGCTCATACCTATAATCCCAGCACTTTGGGAGGCTGAGGTGGGAGGATTGCCTGAGCCCACAGTTTCGAGACCAGCCTGGGCAATTTGGCGAGACCTTATCTCTACAATAAATCAAGAAAAATTAGCCAGGCATGATGGCGCATGCCTGTAGTTCCAGCTACTTGGAAGGCTGAGACAGAAGGGTCGCCTGAGCCCAGCAGGTCAAGGCTGTGGTGGCCGTTAGCGTGCCACTGACCCTTAGCCTAGGCGACAGAGTGAGACTCCGACTCAAAAAAAAAAGTAACACAGAAAATCCCTGTGTCCTCTTCATTCAGTTTTCCCCGGTAGTAACATCTGGTGAAATTCTAGTGCACTCAGGACCAGGATGCTGACATGGTTCTGCCTCATAGTTGCCCCCACCCCCCAGTCCCTAATCTCTTCTCCATTTTTGTAATTTTGTTATTTCTGGAAAGTTGTGTACCTGAAATTATGGGGCACACGGCCCTTTGGGATCAGCTTTCCCCCCAGTGCAGCCCTGAGCGTTATCCAAGTTGTCGCGCCTGTCACTAGTCGTTCCTTTTGATTGCTGAGTGGTATTCTGTGGTGTGGATGGACTGAACCATTCACCGTTTGAAAGACCCCTGGGTTGCTTCAAGATTTTGACTGTTACAAATACATGTTGCTCTGAGCAGTCGGGTGCAGGTTTTTGTGTGAATGTAAGCTTTCATTTCTCCAGGATAAGTGCCCAGGGGTACAGTTTCTGGGTTGTATAGGAGCTACACGTTCAGTTATGGTAAAAAGTGCCAAAGTGCTTTCCAGAGTGTACAATGGTCTGTTGTTGTTTGTTCTTTTGAATGGCTTAGCAATGGAAGGAAAGATGCTTCTGCAGGACCTCGGTAGAGCCCGAGGAGCTGCCCTGTGGGTGGGAAAGGCAGAGGGGCAGGAGCCCCTCCTGCCTGCTAGGAACCCAACTGGCCTAGGGCTTTCCAGCCCCCAAATTCTCCCTGCTTGCTAAGCAGGAAGAGGCGAGAGCGATTCTACTGTGCTAATTTGGGGGATGTTTGTAGCTTTGCTCTTCTGGTGTGGAGCTGGAGGTTTGCTTGTCCATTGTGATTTAAATCCTTTCCGCCTTAAGCTGAGCCTGATCTTTTAGGCTCTGGGGTCCAGCTGTCTGTCTGGAGCTGCAGATTAGGGTGTCTGCTGAATGGAGCCCTCCTGCCTGGTGGGTAGGGATTCAAGGGCTTTCTTCTTTGTTGCCTGACTTCCCCAGTCTCTTCTGTGTGTCTGTGCACACACGTGTGTGTGTGTGCTTGCACGCATGTGGTGCTCATGTGAATGCACTGGGAACTGTTTGAGAGTGTAAATGGGTGTGACTGGGGGTGGGAGAGTGGAGGCTGCACAGCCTACCAAGAGGAAGGAAGTAGCAGCAGAAATAGACTGGGCGGGGTGTCGAGAATTAAGGGGAAAACAGACAGGGGAAAACAGACGACAGGGCTGGGCTCAAGAAGAGCTGCTTGAAAGGGAATGCAGATGCCACTGGGTGAGGGGTTGGGCCCTGTTGACCAGGCTGTGGCAGAGGAAGAGGTCACGAGCGAGGGAAAGGGACCTAGAGCCCGGATGTGTGTTTTCTCTTCAAACACACTTTGGCTAAGTGTGTGTGGACTGGGGCTGACCTTGGCTAAGTGTTGTCAGGAATGCCTTACCTTTTTCTCAGACCTTCCATTGCGCCTCTCTCACCCCTAAGGTCTGGACAGCTGGCTTCTCCGCCCACCACATGCCTGTCGTCACTTGAAAGGACAGAGCAGAACCGCTGTTGGGCAAAATAAGTCCCCTCTCCTCTCCCAGCTCTGAGTCGGCTTTGCTACCAGACCGCCGGCCAACTCGGAAGAGCTGGGTGGGCAGTGGCCAGACGGAGGAGGCAGGGCTGCTGTCAGCACAGCTCATTCCCAGGGTCTCCGTGCTTGCTGGCCAGATCACCAAGCCTGCTTCTGAAGCCTGAGTTGAGCCCATGCCAGTGCGCCCTTCCCCCAAAAGCGATCCTTTCGCTTCCTCTGGAGCAGCCCCAACTTGTTCTGAAAAAAATCAAGTGCGGAATCTTACAGCTATTGAGTGCTACAAGCACAATGACCGTAGCAAAGGGATGCCAGTCACAGCAGAGCCGTGGAAGTGAGAGCTTTGCACGGAGTCACAGGACAAAGCCTGTCCTGGAAATGTGCTGGAAGGGAAGCCAGCCTCGCTTTTTATGACAGCGAAGGGCATCCAAGTGAGAAACCAGAGGGGCTCGAGTCTGGGCTGCCTGGCATCTGCCTGGCATGTGGTGTGCCAACCCGGAGACGACAGTGGGCACAGCAGGCTCCTGGAGAGGTGTGGGACCCTTGGGGGCTTGCCTGTGAGCTGATGCCTTTGGGTACTCATCATCCTGTGTGTTCCTTGCAGACGCAGAATGTCCAGCTTAACAAAGAAATGACGCTCGCCAGCAACCGGAGCCTGGCAGAAGGAAACCTTCTGTACCAGCCCCAGCTGGACACACTGAAAGCACGCCTGACCCAGAAATACCAGGAACTGCAGGTTCTCTTTGAAGCCTATCAGATAAAGAAGACCAAGTTAGGTAACTTTTTAAGGGTGATCTTTGGAGAAAAAAGAATTGAGGGAAGGACACATTTTCAAGCTTTTTTCCTACCAGGAAGCAAATATTATGAGCAGATTTCAAGGGAAGACAGTGACTCTCCTATGGCGAAGGCATAGTCCACGTATATTGAGGACCCCTCGGCCTGCTGCTGCTTGGGAAGGTGGGGTGGGCAGTGGGACTGGCTCCTCGTCCTGGTGGCTCTGCCTGGTGGCAGCTGCTGCCGAGGTCAGCCCAAGGCCACCGGCACCTCCAGGGCCTGCAGTGCTGAGCGGGTGGCGGAAGTGTGGGCACCTCAGTGTAGTTGCCAGGACAGGGGGCGGATGTTGGGAGGAAGCCAGCCAGTCTAGAAGTCACCAGCTTGGAGGAGACGTGACCACTTTTAAAATTCAAGACTTCACTCCTCTAAGCAGCATAGAAAAAACACGAGTTTTGCAGTTATGATAGTCAACTAATGTTTTTTGCTCTGTTTGACCCTCAGAGTTAGTGGTGAAAAATACACGTCACTGGAGCACTTTATGTTAATGTCACACTTAAATCTGCAGCCAGCCGGGCTTGGTGGCTCAGCCTGTAATCCCGTGCCTTTGGGAGGCTGAGATGAGTGAATTGCCTGAGCCCGCGGGTTCGAGACCCGCCTGGGCAGCGAGACCTCATCTCTACAATAAATAAAAAAATCAGCCGGGCGTGGTGGCGCATACCTGTAATTCCGGCTACTCGGAAGGCTGAGGCGGAAGGATCGTCGGAGCCCAGCAGGCCGAGGCTGCGGTGGCCGGTAGCGGCCCCTGCACTCCAGTCTGGGCGACAGAGTGAGACTCCAACTCAAAAAAAAAATAAAAAAAAAGAATTATCTACTGGCTGGGCACAGTGGCTCAGCCTACAATCCCAGCACTTTGGGAGGCCGAGGCAAGAGGATTGCCTAAGCCCTGGGGGTTTGAGAACAGCCTGGGCAACTTGGTGAGACCTCGTCTCTACAGTAAATCATAAAAACTAGCCGAATGTGGTGGCGTGCATCTGTAGTTCCAGCTACTGGGAAGGCAGAGGCGGAAGGATCGCCTAAACCCAGTAGGTCAAGGCTGCAGTAGCCGTGAGCATGCCACTGCACTCCAGCCTGGGCAACAAGAGTGAGACTCCAACTCAAAAA